TTATTTGACTAAACAATGCTATTTATTCTGTCATGTTTTAGCCGGGAGAACCACTGCGAGATCGAGCGGCGGCGGCGCAACAAGATGACTGCGTACATCACGGAGCTGTCCGACATGGTGCCCACCTGCTCAGCCCTGGCGCGCAAGCCAGACAAGCTGACCATCCTGCGCATGGCGGTGGCACACATGAAGGCGCTCCGTGGTGAGTCAGCGGGTATGTCATATCAAACTCGATCAAGAATTCTTTTGAAAAACGACAATTGAAAAAAAAAAAGATCTTTGAAGAGTGATTTGACTTTAAACAATAAGTTTTTAAGGGCCAAAATTGATTTTTTTTAACAATCATTTATGAATTTGTTTTCTCAAATTTTTCGACTGTGCATTCCCTGCTGGCTGATAATTTTAATATTTCAATTCTTTGCTAGCCTTTTCCCCTCATATACTAGGAACAGATCTCTAAGTTTTTGTCTCTGTTTTTCCGTTAGGAACAGGAAACACAAGTTCCGATGGGACATACAAGCCATCTTTCCTCACTGATCAAGAGTTAAAACACTTGATTTTGGAAGCAGCTGACGGCTTCTTATTTGTTGTTATGTGCGACACAGGCAGAATCATTTATGTTTCTGACTCTGTTGGTCCAGTGCTTAACCATTCTCAGGTAAACTTTATTGAAATAAATTACATAGTTACACCCACTATAGTTTTGCACATACAGTAGCTTCTAGTTTTTGTTTTTTTCCACCTAGTGGCAACACTTTGTTAAATTTTCTTCTTTTGTTTTAGAATGATTGGTTTGGAACATCTGTATATGATCACCTTCACCCAGAGGATTTAGAAAAAGTAAGGGAGCAACTTTCTACTCAAGAAACTCAAAATCCAGGCAGGATCTTGGATTTAAAGACAGGCACTGTTAAAAAAGAGGGCCATCAATGTAAGAGACTTTAATGATAATTTACCTAACTGTAATTATACCTAATTTTTGTAGCGATATTTGTCTAAATATGCTTGTATTATTTTTGTAGCTTCTATGCGTCTCTCTATGGGTCCTAGAAGAGGTTTCATCTGTCGCCTTAAAGTTGGCAACATGGGCCCAGATGCCATGGCAGCTGGCCACCTCAATCGACTGAAACAACGTAACAGTCTGGGGCCATCTCGCGACAATCAGAACTATGCAGTTGTACATTGCACTGGGTATATTAAGAATTGGCCTCCATCAGGGACCGATTATGGTAAGCTCCACACTGTGAATTTTTTCTCGTAATCTCATTTGTGTCTCTTGTTGTTTACCAAACTGTCATGTTCTTAGGTGTGCAAATGGAGTCGAGAGGGGAGGATGATGGAACTCATTGCTGCTTAGTTGCCATTGGTCGTCTTCAAGTCACTTCAACTCCAAATACGAGTGACTTGTCAGGTGCCAACAATAATTGTGGTAAGTGGTTTGTAGTCATCTTAGCTAAAATACCAGTTGTTCTTAAAACGTACCCTTCTTTAATTGACCAACTTTCTCATGTCTAGAATTCATATCCCGTCACAGTATGGATGGAAAATTTTCATTTGTTGATCAAAGGGTAATGAATATTCTTGGCTATAAACCTCCTGAATTGTTAGGGAAGTCATGCTTTGATTTCTTTCACCCGGAAGACCAAACTCATATGAAGGAAAGCTTTGAGCAAGGTAATTATACTGTCCTTTTGTTTAGCTTTGAATTCTATAAAATTGCCTTTTTAATTACTGTATTTTTTTAAAACTTTTACAGTGCTTAAGTTGAAAGGACAAGTTATGTCTGTCATGTACAGATTCCAAGCTAAAAACCATGAATGGTTGTGGCTCCGTACGTCAGCATTTGCCTTTTTAAATCCCTATACAGATGACGTTGAGTACATTGTCTGCACCAATTCAACCGCCAAGTGGGTGCAATCAAATTCTGAAAACATTAGTGTACCATCTTTTCTGAATGCGTTTGTAATTTGAATTTTATTTCCTCTAGGTCTCTGCATTCACCTGGAGATGGGACTCCTGCGGACACAAGTGAGCAAGTTACTTACCAGCCGCAACCCACTCCTCAGGCTCAACATCAAGGCCAGCCTGGACTCGACTACAGCTTGCAGAGAAGAGATGCAACCCCTGTCTACCAGCACATGCTACCGACTACGCATCTGCATGGTGGGTTTCTGGCCCTTCTGTATCTTGCCATGGCTTAAAGCAAGAATTAACCATGGAAATGATCTCACCTTCCAGATACCACGGTAGCTGCAGCTCAGAGCCAAGGCCGGCCCTCTAGTGTCCAGAACGTCTACAGCAATTACGACACCACCCCGTCTCCCATCGCCTACGGCTCTCCCAGCCAGCAGGCCCAAGGCACGGCCAACGCCGTCTTGGGTCGCATCAGCAAAACTGCAAACACCTCACCGACGCCCACCCAGGCGGCCTGGAGTCAGCAGTACAGTCAGCTCAGTCCGTCGCGGTCTCCGGGCGGTCCCACGTACACCCAGCTCAGTGGGGGCGCCCGTGCCGGGCCGCTCCCCACACCCTCCTACCACACCCCGACAGTCACGAGCAACACAGGTGACCCCCTCAGACTTGTTTTGTGTTTCTTTCGTCTTCCTGTTGCGAGTCTCTCGTGTTAACGCGTCCTCCTGTACCGTTTACTCAGCCGGCATGTGGTGGACGGGTGCCGGGACGGCCGAGGCGACTGGGACCGTCACTTCAGCAGGCACGACTGTGCAGACGGCCACCCCCCAGCAGCACGAGCTCACCGACATGCTGCAGATGTTGGACCAGTCCGGCGGGGCCTCGTTTGAGGACCTGAACATGTTCAACACAGGCTTCGAGTGAGTGTCAACATCTGCGCTTGCGTCATATATTCGATCTGTTCTAATTAGAGATTCAAACTCAAACCGCCTTTATTTTGCAGCCTTCAGCGAGAGGGTCGCTACAACGAGCCGTGGAGTCGGCCGGTATGATGATTAAATTAGGCTCTAGCTGCTGCCAGTTGGGGCAACTTTTAGATATTTTTCATTTCTTAAAAAAATATAGATGGTCATATTTTTACTGCTTCCCTCCATTCATCCTTGTTTCTCTCCCCTAGTCAGTTCATTTGACAAAAATCCGTACTACTATTGACATAACTTCCTCACGGAACTTATATTTATTTGGATTAAACAACTATATAGTTGATATGTACTTTTCACTTCATTGTGTTACTTTTCATACGTCACTCACTATAGCGTTTCCCAAGTTTTTAAAAAGTTCCTCTGCCCAACCATGATCTTTGAGTATAAATAGAGCTCAAGACAATGTGATGTTTAGTTAGGAGTAAAATTACCAAAAGTTTTTTCATTTAGCTTGAGCATCATTTTCTCCCCTTGTAAAATCATAAAGAACCAATGATTTTTCTGTATTTTGTAAGAAGCCATGTCTTATGTCTCCTTTTTTTTTTTTTTGATATGGTATGTGGTGATTTATACTAATAATTGTAAGTTTGCGCTTATTGCATTACTGAGGTATTGGCCTCATCTAGGAATTTGTAATGTGTCACATCTTTATCATACAAAGTAGAGTGCAAGTAGAGAAGAGGAAAGAAGTTTCCAATTGCCTACGTGTTGTGTACTCTTAAAGAAGTGTTTCCCTTTCATACTAGTAACTTTTACTCTGACTTGATAAGGCCTGTTATGATTGTACAAGACTGCAAAGCAGTGTCATAATTCTGTAGTGTAGAAGGGTTTTCATAATGGCTTCCATTCCGATCAGTTATATGTTATATGATGTAGTTAGATTTTCAACATTACCTATTTTGTACTACTAGGCTTGAGGAATTTCCTGAATGTATGTTATTGATTTTATTATTTTTATCCCTTGAGTTATTAAATTTGATAGTTAATTTATAGTAGTGATATTTTAATCTTTTTAAGTTGTTTTGATATTTTGTATTGGGTATTTTTTTTTCTTTACCCTTAAAGAATCTACTGTCAAGATGTAATAATCTCATAATCGGTATATAAGACGTTTTCCCTATTACTTACACTAGCAAGAGAAGTATTTTATTCCATTTTGTAGCTCTCTGGAAATCATTATAAATACTTCTTGATATGAATGGATGTATTTCTTTTCAACAAACATGATGAGAACTGACGTTTGTTTGTCTTCAATTATGTGAAGAATTGATTTCTTTGCAGTGTTGTAGAATGCAAAAAAAAAATAATGATGATTTTCTATGGTAATGCTTTCTTTGATTTGCATATTTTATTTTAATACTTTTTAAAAATGAAATGGTCTTCATTGAGATGTTGTTCACTCGCACTATGTAAGCTCTTTTCTATCTTAACTTTGTAAGTCAGAACCTCAAGCTTGGTGATGGACCTGGATATTAATGTGAAAACAAATTATGGTTTCCATCCTTGGGGGAAATGGGTAGCTTTGTATTGTTACTTCATCCTTTTATTGTTTCATCTTCAAAGTCATGACTGATCTGTGGTCTGCATTTACAGATTCTAATTTTGTGCTCTGGTGTAAAGTGGTTTGCTTCTGAATTCTTACTGTAGGATTAAGTATGTATCCTATGAGCAAACATCATTCCTTTCAAAATCCTTTCTCAGGGACTGGAGGGTTTTTCTTTCTTTTGTGATGCCATTAATGGCTTTTCTCCAAGTATTAATCCAGTGTTTTATTCGGCTAAGTGTTATTCTAACAAGTTTCCTATTTCCTGAAGTTTACCCTTGGAAACTGGTTTCTAAGTGACAACCAATCCATCACATTAGGGAATGGTGAAAGTACGGAGTTTTTAAATTCAAGTAGAATTTGAAAACCACCATATGTACTCAAGTATGAGACGCCTCTATTGTCTATGCAATCAGTGCCTTTGTTGCTGTTGAGGCTTCCTGATTTTCTGTTAGTGCAAAGTTGACAGCCCATAATGCAACATCCACTTTGAGGCTAACAGAAATTTAATGCTGCAAGGGCAACAGAGGGGAAAGCTTGAATGCTGTGTCTTATGATCGTGTGAATGGAGTACATATGTACTATCTGAGAGGAGTGTTAGCATTTATAATGATTTAAATTGTGCTTCATTGAGTAAAATATAGGTTAATTATGAGCATTCTGTGTCTGTGTGTAATAGCGGTTTGTTTGAATGATTATAATATTCGAACGGTTCATACCAATCTCAAAAATTCTAAGGAAGACAGAACGCAGTGTTATTGTATATCTCCACAAATACTTCTGTCAATTTGGCAGCTATAGCAATGCTGAAGAGTTAACTTCTCTATCATACAAGTGGAACCACCAAATTAAACAGGAAGGTTAATTGTGGAATTAAACTAGATATTTAAATAATAGTGAACTGTGCATTACTATAATTATAGTACAATAGAAATATAATAAGCACATATCAAGAAAATTTGTTATTTGGTTTGACTAATGAAAATTGATATTGGTGAAATGACTGTTTTGATTCCCCCTTCCACCCCACACTAAAATTTCACCACACAAAAAACAATTGTTTGAGAGATTTACATGTTTATTAAATAAAAGATTTCAATACTGTATGAAAATAGTGTGTTTTAACAATTTCAGATCATCAAGTAAAGTCAAATTACTAAAAATTGAGCCTAAAAGAAACTACTTTTTCTTCCTTTTTGCATTTTGGTTTGCAGTTGGATTACCATCTTCAGAATCACTCCCACTGCTGAGACCATCCTCCATAATCCCTTCATCAGCCTCATCACTGTCTTGATCCGCAGTTGTCCCATTGACAGCGCCATTGTTATGAACTCCATTGTGTACTCCATTATGCTTAATTCCATTGGTCCGCTTCTCACCAGCCAAGTTTACTTGTCTCTTGTTTGAGTTTCCATTTGGGACAGATCCATTTGGTACTTTTCCACTCTGCCCTGATTGTTCGGGCAGAGTGCCTTTATCTAAAAAATGTGTTCTTGATTCAGCTGTAGTACCAGTTTGCGTGCCTCCTTTCTTGCCCTTTTTACTTTCATCGTCACGATTTTGAACCTGTACAGTGCGTCCCACAGTAGACATACCATCTACAAATTTTGTTCGGAATAGTACATTGGCATTGTTAAACATGCCATCCTTCAAAGACACCACAATAAACTGCAAGAAAAGAATTATTTTTATTAATGTTGTTGTCAGAAAAACTGCATCAAAAGTGAGGAGGAACCTAACGTCACTATTACAAACCTGTGAGTGATGGAAATGTTTTTTCAACATAGTACCAATGTTTTGTGTGTGTGACAAATCTAAGGCTGCATCAACTTCATCAAGAATGTAGATGGGAGCAGGTTTAAATAAAAGCATTGCAAGAATGAGGGAAAGGGCAACCAAAGAGCGTTGGCCACCACTCAACTCATTCAGACTCTCTTTCCAAATATTACCAAATCCAACTTTAACCTACAATGTATGGCGCAGAGAAAAGAAAATTAAAACAAAGCCAAACATTGTGTACCATGAAAAGGGTTAGCAAATCAGCATACCTCTAATCCATCCAAAACACTCAGACCCTGAGGAGGTGTTAGTCTTGCTTTCGCACCAGGTAAAAGTGTGCTAAATATTGAACCAAAATCTTTGTTGACCTGTTCCCAAGCTTCCATTAATCTTGTCTTCTTCTTTTCATCAAGTTCAGCAATGACATTGCGAAGTTGCTGTTTATCATGCTCGACAATGCCTTTCTTGCGCAAGACTTCGGTGTACTAATGAGGGGAAGGACACACATTGTAAGCATCACATAAATGGAAATACCACACATCTCACAAGTAAAGAAATTTCATTCACCTGTTCCTCTTCCTTGCTCAATAAATTCATTGCACGGGTATTTAAATTACGGCCTAGCTTCTCCTTTGTTTCTTCTAGTTTCGCAAGTCTTTTCTCCGTCTCCTTTGGATTGTTTTCTTGGAAATCATATAAACCTCCTCGATTCCCAAATTGGCTTTTGTCCTTTTCAATCCACTCGTATTTGTTGGATAAGTTCTCCATCTGCTCAGAAATAACAGCCATATGATATCCACTTGTTTAACCATACACATCAAAAGTAAGAGAGGTAAACAGTAATCAAAATTTGGATTTCAATGTTACTAACCACTTGCTCACTGTTGGCAGCATTACTCTTCAACTTTTCTGAGTCAAGTTTGAGTCTCTTGATTTCCAACTCCCATTCCGAAAGGGATTTTTTTATGAGGTCTTGCCTTTTTTGAGCATCATGAATTTCTTTGTTTTGAACAGAAATTTCATGCTTTTTGGCTTTAACTTGCTCGTGCATTTCTTTAGCTGACACCTGAAAAATTAAGAATGGATAATTTACAAAATTGACAACCAGGTTCGGTAGGGATGATGCAAATTACTTAGTTGTGAGATACAGTTAATTCTATGATAACTACAGAACACTTAAAGGATAAATACCTTAGCCTCCTCTAACTTTTGAGAGAATTCTTCAATCTCTGTGGTAAGTTTTGCAATTAATTCAGTGATTTCTTCTATCTGCTTTTGACTTGAAATAATCCCAGATCTCAACTCCTCAATTTCTAAATTAGCTGACTCAAATTCTTGCTCATGTTTTTTCCAAGACACACGACTCTCTTCAGCTTTTTTCTTGAGCCTATCCATTTCGGCCTGAGCAGCTTTTAATTCTTTTTCACGGATAGATTTGGCATCCTTCATTTTGACCTCAATACTTTTGGCCTAAGGACAGAAAAATTTAAAATTATTCTTTTAAAAACAATTCCACATAAGAAAATTAATAATTACACCCGATTTATATCAGAAATAACCTTCTGCTGTCCTTCTTTAATGGTTGTCTCACAGGTTGTAACTTTGGCAGTGAGCTCGTCTACGCGTTCCTTCAATGATTTCACTTCAACCGTAATTTGATGCCTGTCAGTCTGATTAATCTGCTCCCTCAGCATTGCAGCTTGGGAAGCCTTCATTGCATGCTTCTGAGTCAGAGATTTGAACCGCTCTGCTAATCCAGAAACATTTCTAAGCTGATGCTCAATGTTCTTCATCTCTTCAGTATTTCTTTGGAGAAAATCCTGCAATAAGGCAGAATTAAAGATAAAATAGACAATCATAGACAAACAGACAAAAAAGTTAATGAAATAACATAGAAGAAACATACCTGAGCTGACCTCAGTTCTTGTAAAACTGAGAGGATCATTTGTCTATTGCCTGCAGCACCACCTGAAAGGGTTCCAGCAGGATCAAAGACATCGCCATCGACAGTCACACATCTCTTGCTAATTTCCTTGTTATATGTAACTTTGGCAGCTGCATCACAGTCAGTACAGATGAAAACTTGTCCAAAAACCCATTCCATGGCTGGACGTAGCTCGGGTTCAAATTCAATTAGGTCCATGGCTGAAAACACTTTTCCTTGACCACCCTGTAAAAGAGGAAAAAGAAAGAGAGGATATAAAAAATGTCTCTTGGTAAGATTGTCTGCAGACATGAAAAGCACATTACCACTTGTTGTGCAAGGCGGATCGTTCTGGCGTCCATGCTTCGACCAGTGATCCTATTGATAGGAATAATGGTGCACCTCTGCTGCAGCTGTCCACGCTGGAGGATCAGTTTGCTGGTCTCTTCATTGTCTGTGATAACAAAGTAGAGCTGGGCAGGAAGAAGAAAACGTTTGTTAAAACTCTTACAGCTCCAATAATATGTTGCAATGTAATTACTAGAAGAAAACATATTACCTTTCCACCAGCGGCACTCTCCAGTGCTTGAGTAAACTTAGGATCTTTCACTGTGAACATTCTACAGACTAAACCTTTCACTTTTCGTCGGTCAAAGTTTGGAACAGGATCCTGATACTTCAATGTGAGCTGTGGATACCTAAGTTCAGGATCAGGATGAAAATATACCAAGTGAAAACAAAGAGAGAGGAAGTGGTGGCTAGTTGAGCCTAAAAGTCTAAGATTAGAACAAATATGACTACCTGGTTTCCAGTACAGACGCCTTCTGTTGAGCACTCCGAATTTGGTTTCCCAAACTTACTCTTTGTTCCTCCAGTTTCTCACTCATTCCATCTTCATACTGAATTTGACTTATCTCACTCTGAAAATTTAAAAATTTATTAACTAGGTATGCAAAAATAAGATTGGAAATTATGCCTTGAGCATGGAGATAGTGCAGCTCATAGAATAAAAATAAAACAAGTACTATTTGAAAGTGAAATTCAATTCCTGTGTACATACAGCCATGGCCGTCACTTCCTTATCCAGTTTTGCAAGTGTTGCCACATCATGGGAATATGTCTTTGAATTTTCATTCAGGAGCTTTTCTTTCTTTAACAGTTCACTTTTGATGTGTTGCATTTCCATTTCACTTTGTTTCTTTTCTGAGCTGGCTGTAGATACAGCTTGCTTAGCAGCTGAGAAGGTAAAAAGTCAATACAGATTTTCATAAACATTTTAAAAGTCATTTTTAAGCTCATCAAATAAAAGAAAGTCGTCAGAAAAATGGTCCATACCCATTAGCTGCTCTTGAAGAGTTGCATCAGCCCCATCCTCGCTCGACAATAATCCTGCACTAACAGCCTGATATTTTCGTTGTGCAGCTGCAAAAGCTTCTGCGTCAGCTGCCTCCGCCTCTTTTAATGATGAGAATTTTCCACCAGTCTTACCATGTTCTGCTTGTTTTTGAGCCAGAATTTGCTCGTCCTGTAGAAGAATAGGCATCAGAACGCAATTTCATAATCATGGTCAAAGACAATGTAAGAAGAAATAGAAAAACCAAAACAACACAATAAAGAGTTGTAGGAATGATAACTTTACAAACCTCTTTCAAACTTTTTTCTAATTGCTTTTTTCTCTTTTCTTCAGTCGACAAGCTGTCTTTGTGTGCTTTGATTTGAGCAGTTAACTCTGCCTCAACTTTTTCTTTTGCTTTTAATTCTTTTTCCAATTTACCAAGATTACTTCCTTCCTCCTAAGAGACAAATCAAAAATAATAACACATTAAGAACTTTCTTAGAGAAATACAATCATGCATAAGCAATAGAAAATAAAGTAACTGTGGACTATAATCACCTCTCCAATTTTAGCTGTGATGGTTTCAATTAGTTGTCCAAGTCTGGATATTTCTTTTTCACCATCCAACATGCTCTGTTCACGTTTCTTAACAGTTTGATCAGCTACTTCCAAGCTACTTTGCAGCTCTTTACTCGCTTTCTACAATTAGCAAATATGTATAAAAAAATTAGAATAACATTTTCCAAGTGTCAGACAACATACAGCAGAATAAAAATTTAGCTTAAGGTAGCATCCTATTGTAGCGGACTCCAAATAACAATTAAATTACAGAGATTTGGAGCTCACTACAATAGGCTGCCCCTCAAACAAAGCCTTAAGATTCATGTAAATACCTCAGCAGTTTTGTATCGCCAGGCAATATGAATGCGTGAAAGGTGTTCAACCTCTCTGTTGACTTTTTGGTATTCTAGATACTGTGCCTTATCATCCTTGAGTTTCTGCAATCTTGGCCCAACATCTTGCTGAATGATCTGTCAAATATAAAATGAACAAAAAGTTGAAATTGGTTTACTTGACTTCTGCTTCAAATTTTAAAAGTACAGTACCTCATCAAGCTCATTAAGTTTTGAGTCTTTCTTCTCAATAGTTTTGTTGGCAGCTTGCTTCTTGCCTTCATACATGCGTGTACCAGCTGCTTCCTCTACCATGGACAAAATCTGTAATGTTGCAAGATCATTAAGGTAATTTAACTGTAATGATGGTAAAGCACAGTCCCAAATTTATACGTAGATCAATAATTGTACAATAACTTGCCTCTGGTGGTTTCATATTCAACACTTTAGTGATGCGTCCTTGCATAATAAGAAAATGAGGATTGTTGACATTGAGTTGGACAGAACAAAACATGTCCATGACCCTTTTGTTGGTAACATTTGTTCCATTTATCAAGTACTTATTTTTGCCTCCAACAACAGTCTACGCATAACAAAATACATTTACAATAAAGCACCTAAACGTGTTGGGAAAGCAGAATTCACAGTTCTACAGAAAAATCAACTTTAACTCACTTGTCTCGTGACAGTTATCTCGTCATATTGCTCATATCCAATTGGCCCACTTGAACGGTCTGAATTATCAAATTTAATAGTCACGCTTGCTTTGGTGATACCGGCTTGCCCACTTTTGTAGACCAGATCCTGAAGCGATCCTGCTCGAACCTGAGAGGAATGATCAACACAAATTCAAGCGAACACTGTATACATTTGGGGAAGCAGGTGATAACAACTTGGCAGCAGACAGGTTCAAACGGTACAGAGAAAACGTACCTGGCCGAGATTAGTGATACCAAGGACAAAACAAATCGAGTCCAAAATGTTGGATTTGCCACTGCCGTTAAGACCCGTGATTGCGTTAAATTCTGGATCAAATCCATTCACTTCAGTCCTCTGCCCGTAGGACTTGAAGCCGTCCAAAATAATCGACTTGATGTGCATTTTCAAGCGGTTGAGGAGCACTCAACACACACAAATTCAAGTTTCACGCATGGCACAAACGTTTCTATCGCATTTCGAGTCCAATTCACACACAAGAGGCCCAAAATAACATAAAGATACGTCTCTGTGCGTTTTGGCGGCAACAACTAACAATAACGATTCAAAAGGAGGTTAGCAGTTCAAAAACCGTTCCAACGAGCGACAGTGGCGCGGCGGTGGAGCTCAGGCGCGGACTAATATTTCCCTCTAGTTTTGTGTATTGAGTCTTTGTGTGTCTTGAGTCTCTTTGAAGTGGATGGAAAACTGATCAAAACTATTGGAATGATTAAAATTTAACTTCAAGGTAGTGTAGAAATCAAATTTGCATCACTCACAACCGATGTCACTTTTAAAGAGAGCGAGGGAAATTCCGGAAATCATGGTGATTTCTGTTGGTAGGCCTACGCTCGTCAGCTGAGGTTCGCTCCCATTGGTTGGACAGCTTTCGTCGCACCTATTCAAATGACATCTGCAAAGTTTCCTGGCGATAACCGCACCGATTTGTGTAACAAATTTTGCTACTTGTTGGTCCGCCATGCCGGTAGACGAGATCAGCAGCAGAGCTTTCAGTAAGTACGTTGACCGAACACCTCAATTATTGCACTGATGTAAAGGTTGTCCAGTGATGTAATCACTCATTCACCGCATAGCACATGACATTTATCGTCGCGTTCAGCTTGCTGCAGCAGTACTCGTCATCAGAAGCACCCCCAATGGTACATCGTCTGAAGCTCACGCGGCCGATCTACAGCGAAAATTGAAAATACTTTGGTTGAGTTCGGTAAGTAACGTTCGCGAGTAAATTGCAAATTTTCAAAGACGTTCTGCTGTAACATTGAAGGGATTTTCAGCCCTTGTCGCCAGGAGCAAGCCAAGTGAATGTGTCTGTGGATCGTCATATTCTTTTTCAACTGCAAGAATTACTTGCATTTCGATTAAATTCAGTTATCTCAGAAAGTTCTCATCATAGCGTTACAGGTTAGTTAAACTCCTTATTTCATATGCAAGTTAATTCCACAAAACTCTCCATTAAAAAGATGGAACGTTCATGTCATTAAACTTTTTACAGTTTGTTCTCAAAGTCAGAGCGTGAGCTATGCTACTAAACAATCAAATGATATCAATCAAAATGAAATATGGAAGATGCAAGCATTTTCCGACCATCTTCATGCCAACAGAGTTAAAATTCAAGCCTCTGCCAATTTTATTCAAGCAGTTATTCACTTGAAAGCACTAGCAGAGGCTCAGACCACTATTCCTTTCGATAAATATAACACCTCTGTCTCCTTATTGTGCAACAGAAAAAGTCAAGTTAATTTTCCATACAATTTTGAGGAAAGTCTGTTTGCACATCCCTTACCATCAGATGACAGCGGTTTTTGTACCACAAATGACAATGTGTACAAAAATACTGAGACAGGTAAGTGAATACTACAGATCTATGAGATCAGCTTTGGTAGATACTTCACCTGATTTCTTGCCAACAGTTAAAGGTGTTGCGAGCAGTGTTATCTTGTACATTGTGAACTCTTGTAATGCCGATGAACTTCTCCAAAAGAGTGTTGAATCAATTATTGTGCAGCTAAGGGATATTGCATTGAAGGATGATGGCATACATTTACATGACACAATTAATCAGTGGAGGGTAATATGATGTACACTGTGTGTAAACCATGAACATGTCATCTTTACTAATAAAATCATGAAAATATTCTATCCTAATGCTTAATTGACAGGGATCAGCTTATCACCATGCTATGGTTGCTTTTCAATCAGTATTTAGTGGTCAACAGATGAACATGCACAGAACTCTACCAGACCAGCAGCTATGTTTATCAATTTTACAAGAAATGCTGGAACATGTATCCAAGAAAAAGTATTCCTCTAAGGTTTGTAGTAAGAAAAAATAACATT